ATAAAACAGAATTTCTGAAAAGAAAAGAAAAAACAAAAATATATATATAAATAGCTTTATTATATATAAATTATATATGATTATTACAACAAGAATTATAAATAAAAAAATATTAATAATATTTTATTATGTGTATTCCTTCATAAATACAATCATAGACATTTATCAATAATTAAAAATTAAAAATAAAATGAAATAATATATAAATTATTAAAATAATTATAAGATAATTATTATTATATAAAGGAATAAAAGATAGGTTTTATATTGTAGTAACAAAAAAATGAATTATTAAAAAAAAAAAATATTAAATATTATATTATATTAAAAATATATAAAATATATAAATAGATAAATATATATATATAAATATATATATATATAATATTCATATATTTATATTTATATAAAATATAAAAATTTTTATTGATTTTCTAATTTTTTATATTTTTAATTTTTATGACTTGAAAAAAATAAAAAAAAATCTCTTGAATTTTTTTATATAAAACTTAATAAATAATATTTTTTAATCTACACAACTTGAAATTTTTAAAAAACAATCACCTAAATTTAATATATAATCTCTTTTTCTTCAATTTTTTATATTACATAAATATATTTGTATATTTCAATATCCATTATATAAAGTTATAGAATAATATAATCTTTTAATATTAAATACAAAATTGTAATTTTTATTTTCATAATTATTTATTCTCTGTCATAATAACCTTTTATATTTTCTAGTGTTATTTATATTATAAAATTTTGATTTATTATTAATTTTAAATTATTGAAAAAAAAAAAAATTAATTATATAAACTCTGCTCTACTCCTCTTTTTTTTTATTTAAAATTCTACTAACTTTTAATTTTTTAAACTAATTGATTATTATTAATTAACTTAAATATTTTTGAATGAATTATTATCTAGAATAAATGTTTCTATTATTCTAATTTTAAAAACACATTTATAAAGGAAATTTATTTGGTTTTATTATTATTAAAAGTAATTGTTCTGTTTTTTTAAGTTAATTCTGTTTGTGAAATATTGATTTAAATTTGATTGTTTGCTTTTATTGATTTATTTTATCCAAATTTTTTATTATATCATTATTTATATTTTTTTTTATTTTACTATTATATATTCATTTTTATTTTTTAATACAAAAAATAAATATAAAATATCTATTTTTTTATATCTTAATAAAAAAAAATAACAATGTAAGTAAGTTTAAAAAAAGCTAATATCTTTTTAGGTAATGTTTAATAATATTTTTATAAATTTTTTAAGATTTCTAGATAAAAAAGGAAACGTTCCTAGATTCATGTTAGTAAAATAAATTAAAAAACTTTTAAAAATTAGATTAAGTTGCTATTATATAAATAAATATGATTTAAATATATATATTCCATTAACTTTTTATTTAAATGGTAGATTAAATATAAAATTTATTGAAAAAATAATAAAAATTAATTGAGTTTAATTAATAAAATCTGAAAATACCTCGAAAATATTGGCTTATTTTAAATCTATTTTATTGAGAACCGAATAGTGAAGTATTTATCGAATAAAAGGAATAATTTAAATGAATTTTAAAATAGTAAATTTTATTTTTTATTTTTATTTTTATGATACAAATAATGAAAATTAAGATATAAAAAAGAATTCATAAAATCTATAATGATTAAAAAGAAAAAAGTAATATTTAAATTAATTAGAGATTTTAAAAAGAAATTAGTTAAAAAAAAAAAAGTTAAAAAATAAAATAAATCCTCGTTGATATTTAAATGAAATTATAGAAATAAAAAAAAACATAGAAGTATAGAAGATAAATAAAAAATTATTTAAAATAATTAAATAAGAATTAAATGAGAAAATAAAAAAATATAATATTATTAAAAAAAAAAAAATTCATAATATAATAAAAGAATAATATAAGATAAATAATAAAAATATTATATAAATAAATATAAAATATTATATATATTAAAATATTATTATTTAAATTTCAATATTAATTAAATATAAAATAAATATTATAATTAAAAATAAATATATTTTAATAATAATTAAAAAGGATTAATTTTATTTAAATAAAATAAAAAAAATATAAAATTAAATATAAATAAAAAAAATTAATATTAAAATAAATATATAATATTACAGGAAATTATTCATAAAAATTATTAAAAATTAATAAGATGCAATTTTTTAATATAAAAATATAAATATTAATATAGATATAAAATATAAATAATATATATATATATAAATATATATATATATATATATATATATATATATATTTTATTTTTTTATAACATTTTGTTTTATAATTTTTATAATTTAATTAAATTAATTAAATATTTTTTTTTCCTTTAATTTTTATTTTTATTTTATAATCCTTTCTTAATTATAAATATACTATTTTTTTTTATTTTTTTATTATACACATATTAATTATTTTGTTCATGTTAATAAATTATTTCTAATATTTTTTTTTTAAATAATTTATATTAACATTAAATTCTATCTTTATTTTATATTATATTTATATTATAAATTTGAGTTTTATTATTCTTTAATTTAATTAAAATTTATTTTAAGAATATTTTATTATATGATTATTATTATTTACTTTTTTATATTAAAATAATTGATTACCTTAAATGTACATTTAATATTATTATAAAATTAGATATTTTTTTTAAATAAAAAATTTTTTATTATTTTATTTGAAGTTATACTTATATTTAAATATACAATACTTTATTATAAATATTATAAGCTTTTTATATTTATTTTGTTTAAAAACATATAAGATTAAAAATATAATTATTATATTTTTTTATTAAATAATTATATTTATTTATTGAATATAAATGGAAAAAGTTAAAGAATATTAATACATATTTTTATAAAAGAATTTAATTTTAAACTATTTGGAATATTAAAAAGAAGAAATATATTAATCTAGTTAGTATATTATTACGTTTTAAGAAACTGTAAATCACAAAGAAACATAATATAAAATATTTTGTCAAATTAAATAAAATAATAAATAAAAAAAAAGAAATAAAAATTATTTAATTTTATATTATTTTTTATTTATTTCATTATATTTTATATTTTTATTTTTTTATTTATTCTTTTTTACATAAATAATTTTAATTATAATAAATAATAAATAATTATTTTTATTATAAGTTGTTTATTTAATTTAAAATTAATTTATATAATAATAATTTACATATTTTTACTTATTTATGTTCTAAAATAAAAATAAGTACAATATTTTTTTGTTTAAAATATCAAATTAATTAGTAATAATGAATTTTTTAATATCTGATAGTTGATATATTATAATAAAAATACATAATTTGTTTGAATATTTAAAATTAAATAAAACTATTTAACTCTTAATTTTATATATTTGGATTTTAATAATAATATAATATAATATAATATAATATAAAATAATTTAATATAAAATAATTTAATATAATTTAATTTAATCTATCTAATTAATTATACTTATTTATTTTATAAAATATAAAATGATATTAATGATATTTAATATATTTAAAAATTAAAAAATTTCTTACCTAATAAAAAATAAATTTAATTATATATACATTATTATTTAAACACTTAATTTTATATTTAAAATAAATATTATATTTTAAACCTCAACTATATAAATTAAAAAGAAATAAAAAAGCCAATAGATAAATAATTTTATAATATTTATATTATTGTTACTTATAAATTATATAAAATATTAAATAATTATAAACAATTAAAAACAATTAAAAAAAATGGGTCATTATAAAGCATTAATGAAAAAAAATTTTATTCTTTGGTAAAGAAGTTGGTGTTCATCTTTTTGTGAAGTATAAAAATTAAATTAATATATATAAAATTAATTAAATAAAAAAGATTGTTTTACCAGTTATAATGGCATTATCACTTTTCGTATTTAGAGCTAGAATAAAAACAAATGTAAAATACATAAAAAAAAAAATAAGAATAAAATAAATATAGATTGTTCCAGAAACTTCATATTATTTAAATCCTAATCAATAAGAAATAAAAAAATTTACCCGGATTTTCCTTTTTAGGATTTTAAATTAAGATAACCTCTTCCAACTTTGGATTGCACAAATTATATTGGAATTAATGTATATAGATCAGGCCATATAGCATTAGTTAATAATAATCCTTATTCGTAAAAATTTAAATCCATAATAGAGTCTTATGCAGCAATTTAAGATATTGCATTAAAGTATAAATATAGTTTTAAATTCTATGACACTAGAGAATAACTTTTTGAATATATAGAAGGAGATGACTATAAAAGGGATGTATGCTTAGGTGTAGAAATTACTTAAAATAATAATAAATTTGATGTGAGATTAATGTTTAATACTACATGTATTCGATTATATTTTATATATATATATATTAATATTTTTATTTATATAGATTTTTATGATGTTCCTTCTACATTGAGCGAAGAAATTTTATATTATAAATAAGATAATAAATATAATTATTATGATTTATGGTTCAGTAGTGGTTTTCTTTAATTATAAAATTACATTAGGTAAAAAAAACAATAAAAATTTAAATTATATTATTAAATAAAAATTAATAGATAATGCTATATTGAATAAGTTATTAAATGACTAAGGAAAAACTAAAAAATAAATTCTGTATAAGTGACCCCTTTAAAGATGCCTCAATTCATATAAGATGAATTGATTACTTATTTAAAAGGATAAATGGGTGTTTTTCTCGTTTTACCTCTTATCGTGACTTTTTTAAGAATGTGTAGTGGTATATTAACTGAGAAAGAGAAAAAAATACGAGAAGGTATGAAAATTATGGGAATGAGTAATTTCTCATTCTATTCTTCTTGGATTTCTTGGTATTTAATGACTTATACGATTATTTCTTTAATAGTTTCGGCTATTTTAAAAGCTACTATATTTAAATAAAGTGATTATTTGTTGATTTTTGTGTGGCATTGGTTATTTTGTGTTAGCTTGATTATTTAAAGTATCTTTATTACGTCATTTTTTTCGAGGGCTAAATTGGGAAATATTATATCTATGGTGTTCTTTTTAGTCATGTTTATGATTAAGTTTATTATTGGAAATAGTAATTTGCCTTTAAATATAAAAGTTGGAGCATCTTTATCATCACATACAAGTTTTTCGTTAGCCTCGGATATATTTTTATTAGTAGAAAACTAAGGATACGGAATTACATGGAGTTCAGGGTCTAAAATGGTTGATAATTTTTCAATTGGAATAAGTATGGGAATGTGTATTCTCAATATTTTTATATTTGCTATACTTTCTTGGTATTGCGAGTAGGTTATTCCTAATGAATTTGGTAAAAAAAAACATCCTTTGTTCTTTATAACTTGTCTTTTTAAAAAAAATATTGAACATGGAAAGGAGTTCTACGAAGATAAAGAAAATCTTATTCCTAAAGAAAATGTAGAAGAAGTTTAGGCAGGTTTAAAATAATAAGAATAAAATTAAGAAGTCTTAAGATTAAATAATGTTTATAAAGTATATAATAATGGAAAAAAAGCAGTTAACGGGGTGAATTTAACAATGTATAAAAATTAAATTTTCTGTCTTTTGGGACATAATGGAGCAGGAAAAACAACTACCATTTCTATGTTGACTGGAATGTTGGAGTTTTCTTAAGGACAAGCTGAAGTTTATGGAAAAGATATTACTAATGAAATAGAGGACATTAGAAAATTTATGGGTGTGTGTCCTTAACATGATATTCTCTTTGATAATTTGACTGTTAAAGAACACTTGGAGCTATATGCAGTTTTCAAAGGAATGGATAATAAAGATATACCTTTGGCTGTCCAAAAAGCTATAATAGATGTTGATTTAGCGGAAAAGACAAACGAATTAAGCAAGAATCTATCAGGAGGACAGAAAAGAAGGCTTTCAGTGGCTATAGCTTTTATTGGAGGAAGTAAACTTATTTATTTGGATGAACCTACTAGTGGAATGGATACTTCTGCTAGAAGATATATTTGGGATATGTTAAAGAAATATAAAAATGATAAGATTATAGTACTTACTACTCATTTTATGGATGAAGCTGATTATTTAGGAGATAGAATAGGTATTATGGGAGAAGGAAAATTAATATGTTGTGGTTCTTCAGTATTTTTGAAAAATAGATTTGGTGTAGGATATAATCTAACAAGTAAATAATAATGAATATATAAAATATATTTAAAATAATTTTTTAGTTTCAAAGTAAAATAAAGATTCGCCTAAAAAGACTAATAATAAATTATTTTTTAATTTAAAAAATATAAATT